AATGAAATAAGGGTGTAGATGGTTTCCATGTAGAGGTTAGAATCCTAAAAAAACTCCTAAAAAACTCCCCTACCATACGGCTCATTTATTAGTGTTCAAAACAACTCCTAACAAATCCTACCATTGATTGCATAATATTGGACGGATGAGATGAATTTGCATTTTATACCGGAAGCACACTTTGTATCCGATCTTAACCCTATATATATATATATAGATTCAGGATCACGTACAAACTAATCCTAATTTACAAAGTGCAAATTAATCGTGGCCATCCATAAAACTTAAATAACGGTGTGGATGATATAACTCACCCACTAACTGCATGCTCCACAATTAGTAAAGAGAAGATTAAAAACGGTTGCACTTATACGGCAAGATGTAGTGGTCTAAACAAATCCCACCTTTGATTTTATAATATTGGACGGATGAGATGATTTTGCATTTTGTATGGAAAGCATACTTTGTATCTGATCTCAACCCTATATATATATATATATGTATATATATATATATATTATGATCACATACAAAGTAATCTTAATTTACAAAGTGCAAATTAATCTAGGCCATCCATATGAATGAAATAAGGGTGTAGATGGTTTCCATGTAGAGGTTAGAATCCTAAAAAAAAAAACTCCTAAAAAAACTCTCCTATCATACGGCTCATTTATTAGTGTTCAAAACAACTCCTTACAAATCCTACCATTGATTGCATAATATTGGACGGATGAGATGAATTTGCATTTTATACCGGAAGCACACTTTGTATCCGATCTTAACCCTATATATATATATATATATATATATATAATAGGGGAATATAATTTAAACAGCTCAAACTTTGAGATTTGTGATGTAAGTACCCCAAATTTGTATGTGTAATATATATATCCGAACTTTATATAAACAATATCTTAGCACCATAATTATTTCTTTTTCTCCTTTATGTTAAGTTTCTCAAAATTTTAAAAAGTTTTTTAGCTACAAAGGGATTTTTTAGTGAACGTGCCACATTTTGCCCCTATAAATTTTATTATTCTTTAATTTTTTATGTAAGTTGATGTTGTGAAATACGCAATTTAAAATATTTTAGCATTTCATGAGGATACAATTAACATTCTAAACTTTCATTGTGAAATATATATTATCACAATCTATATCATTGCAATGCTATTAATTTTCTATCTGTCATTGCAATACTTTCATTATTAACATATTTAATTGACTTTTTCATTATTCACACACTCTACTTTGACTTTATTTTATTCATTGATGTATAAATAATTTTCTTTTATAAATCACTATAAAATTTGTCCAGGTTTAAAATTTTAAAATATGACTTTTGAAACTCTGTGGTTTTTACTAATAATGATGATCACTGTTAATCGTCAAAGTTATGTATTGACTGATTTTGCCAATTTATTAAAAAAGTAATGAATAAAATAAAGAAAAATATATATGAAAAATAGGTAAAATTGTCCTCCACATAAATTTCATCGAATCTCGCTAGAAAATATCTCTAACCTTATTTATTTTAATTATAATACAACTCAGTGCGTGAAATTAAAAGTTACATGTTTAATGAAAATATCGTGTAATAGAATTAATAGGTTGAAAAATGGTGTCACATGCTCTTAAATGAAAGAGGGAGTAAATTGTCATTTAATTGACGTGTAAGGGTTTTATAATAAATTAGTTACTTCGTCTCAATTGATTTACAATTTGCGATTAAGGTTACTATCGATAAAATTAAATCATCTGAGCGGATAGTTAAATCAATTTTATTGATTAAAATATGTATATTCAAAAACTATATTGAAACTTGTATAAAATCACAAAATCTAAATTATATATGCCAAATAACAAAAAATATATGCTAAATAAGTAAATAAAATGAATTTGTATTGAGCAAGAGAAGTAGACTTCACAAATTATTTTGGGGGCACTATCCAATTTTATGGAAACATACTATCTATAACTTACCAGTTGCAAATTCCAACTAATTAAAAATTCATAAAATAATACTACCTCCGTCCTTTTTTATTTAGCCATATTTGACTTTTTCAGTCAAAGATTAATGTGAAGTATAATAAATTTACTTTTATGATAATATTTTAAAAAATAACATTTTCATATCATTTTCATGTTATCAAAATTATTGTTTATAAATATATAATCGTTCAAAGTTTAACATATTTGACTTGAAAAGTCTTACTTCAGATTCTGTTTCATACATATTTTGCTGATAAGCTACTTTTGTTTTTTGAAACCTTGATGATAATTAACTTGGGGAGTGTTTTGTGATTGTTTCTCCTTCTAAAAAAAGTGATTTTTTTGAAATTATATGAAAATTGATTAATACCCCATATTAAAAGTTGATAGTGTTTAAGAAAATGATTTTGAAAATTAAAAGTTAGAATGTTTTCTAAAAAAGTGCTTTTTTGTGTACAAAAAATGAAAAACATTTAAAAGCATTACTCAGAACTTTTAACTTTTCAATTAAAACTGCTTAAAAAAGGGTACTCCGTAAAAATTATTATTTAGAAGGACTTGAAGGTTGTTTGATGTGCCTATTTTCGGTTTGTCAGGCTTATCAGCCAACTTTTCCATCAAACACGTTACTTTTGATTTCGCCCCATGAATTGTGTGATAATAAGAAAAAGTAAGGTTGAAGTTACTTTTCTGCTCGTGTTGACTGAAGTTACTGTAGGAGATCAATTTAGCTATTTTTCATATAATTTTGCTTTAATTAGTTAATAAAATATATTTTAAATATAACTTTTTCATATATCAACGGAATCTGTCAATTCAGCCACTTCAGCTAAAACTTCATAAATTTCAACTGAATCAGCCAATACAGTTGATTTCAAACGGGCTCTCAATGTAGCTTTTCTACCCAACAAGGATAAACTTTTTAAGCCCACGCAAACACTTCATGAGAGATTAAAAGATTGTTAAAATTGGGAAAGCGAATGCAGGAGATTAAATGTAGAGGCGGGGTGAGAGGGGTGAGAAAAGATTATTTTGTGGATGACATTATCCTTGAATTGTGCCACAATATCACAAAGGCTAAAGGATCAAATAGACCCCTATATCGGTCGTGTAAGCTCAATTTAACCACTGAACTAAAAAGATCCAATTCGCACCTCGATCCGGCAAAAAAATGTTCAAAATTCATTTTTAAAGGTTATCAACCGGTCACCCTCTACGTCACGAGTCCGATTGTCACATGTGCATCCGAAGTTGAGACTAAAAGCTCAAATAAGCCCCTGAACCCGTCACAGTTGGTGAAATCACTCCCATAAACTATTAAAAGTGTCGAAATTGTAATAAATTAAAAATAAAAAAATAGAAAAGATTAAAATATATATATATGATTTTTTAGACATTATAAAAAATGAAAAAAATATAAACATGAAAATTAAATTTTACTTTAGAATTTATATTCATACTGTATATATATGTTTTTAAATCAATATTTTCTTTAATATTTTATTAAGATTTTAATGTTTTATTTATGTTATTACATTTTTCTCATTTCATAGGTTTTGAATTAAAACGTATGAAATATAAAATAGGAATTTATAGTACTTCAAAAAGGTTATAGAATAAAAAATTTAAAAGTTCAATCCGGAAATATTTCGTACTACGTATAATTTAAAGCATAAATATGATATTTTATCTATCTAATACAAAATAAAATAAATAGGAAAAGATGTTAAAAATCTAGTGAAATATGAAATATAAATGCAAGGACAAATCTAAAACTCTAACGAAAAAATCTCTAAGTAGGAATAAAACATAGCAAATATTCTCAAATAAGAATGTCGTTTTTTCATATTAATAAAATATAATAACATAAAATAAAACATTAAAATAAAAATGAATTCTTAAATAAAATATTGATGTAAAAAAAATAGATATAAAGTGTGAATATAAAGTCTAAAATTACATTTTAAGTTTGATATATATATTTAATTTTTTATATTAATGTTTTTTTTTTAATTTTTAATTTTTTTTCTTCTATTTTTTATTTTTTAATTTATTACAGTTTCGACACTTTTTAATAGTTTAGAGGGTGATTTGATCAACTATGAAGGATACAGGGGCTTATTTGAGCTTTTAGTTTCAACTTCAGATGCACATGTGGCAATTAGACCGGTGACATGGCGGGTGACCTGTTGGTTACCTTTAAAAAAATGAAATTTGAACCAATTTTTGCCGGTTCAAGGTGCGAATTGAATTTGTTTTTAGTTCATGGGCTGAATTGAGCTTACACCACCGGTACATGAGTCTATTTGACCCTTTAGCTTATCACATTTTTTTATTTCATAATTATTCAGGGAAAAGATTAAAAGAAAAACATTACTTGTAATAATTTAATTAATGTTTTACTAAATTCATATGCAAAAAATATGCAAAATATATTTAACCAATCTACACTATTTTTATATGGACTGAATTTATATTTAACATTTTATACCTCCCTACCCATACCAGTGGCGGATTTAGCATTGATGTTTTGGGTGTTCAAAACTCAATTAAAATTAAAATGGAATGCTCATATTATTTAATAATTTGATGAATAAATTTCACTTTTGGTCGTACGAGTTTTAGGTGATTTCCAAATTTAGTCCGCATCTTTCACTTTGTCCACTTTTGGCACATGACTATTGTGTTTTCGCCCATATATCGTCCTTCCGACATTGTTTCCGATGGTTAAAATCGCCGGAAAAGGACCAGGCCACAAACGGTTAAAAAACATTAGTCAAGTACCAAAAGTGGATAAAGTGAAAGACGTGGACTATAGGTGGAATTGGCACAAAACTCGTAGGACCAAAAGTGGAATTAATTCCAATTTGATTAGTGAAGGAGTTTTTCTAATCCTTAATTGCTTTTTTTTAATCTTGTCTAATCCTTGTTATTAACACAAATCCTTGTTATTAACACAAATAAGTGAAGAAAAAACATTGGGCCACACCAAAATAAAATTAAGGAAAAAATTCTGCCACACCATTAATAAATTAAGCAAAATAACATCAATGAATTAAATAAAAAAAACACTGCCAGATCAATAACTTAAGCAAAAAAAAATACAACCACTGAACCATGTGCCACTGTGTTGCTCCTACTTCCTCCAATTATTTATTCATCGAGAAAGATCCAAAGTTGCAAGGTGGTGGCTTTCAAGTTGTATAGAATCCACTACACACCAAAAAACATCTCCCAAATCTCAATATTTTCTGATTCTGAATGAACTACATAGCCGCAGTTGGATACAAACGGAGGGAAGGACGAGTTCTGGAGTTTGGAGCTTCCGCGGATGAGCTTTACGATCTAAAAAACGACGACATTTTGATAATAACAATTGAATTTTTTGGGTGTTCACATGAATACCCTTGAACAGCACCAGCTCCGCCACTGACCCATACAAATGGTCTAACCTGTAATGAAAATTTTTCTCTCTCCAGGAAAACTGGAACTGCCCTAGTTGCTGCCCTGGATGGAACAATTCATCTGTTTGACCTGAGCACCAAAAGGCCACTCTGGTCATTTACATCTGGTTCGCCAATTTATTGTGCATATCAGGCTCATAATGACAAGGAAAGTACGTCTGACATAAGCAATGGTTATTTCATTGATATTGGAACCGAGGATGACTGGGAACTTTATGCACACAACGGACCGGAGAAACTGGTATTATCTTCTTCTACAGAGTACTCCGTATTTCTTAAAATAAAATTCACCGAATCCATTAAATCTATTAGTACCTCCGTCCCAGTTGTCATATTTCAATTCGACATGATTATTATTAATGTGATTGAAAATAATTGTGATTGAAATTTGAGTGAAACAATGTGAAACAATGTTTATCACAATTTTTTTACCAAAAAGAGAAACATGACATCCATTTTTGGACAATCCAAAAGAGAAAGTAAGACAACCAATTGGAACGGAGGGAGTGAAATCTATGAAATTCTGACCGAAGTACTTGCATTAACTTAATCTGTTGAATTATGAAAAACTTATATTAAATATATTTTATTAATGAAATTAAGAAAAAGTCACATGCAAAATAGCTAAAAAATGGCTGAAAAAGGCGACACCGAAAATAGGAGTTAAGAAATGGATATTCAACAAGTATATAGAGCATTTAAACATGTTTGATGCGCACACACTTGAAAAATTATGCATTTCCTTTTTCACATTGTCAATTGACTGAACCAATGCTTGGTGTGGTGTATTTAGAAACTCAAAAAGAGCATTGAAGCTTATGTTAGTGCAACACCTCAAGTAGCAGAAGATGGAGGAGTTGTTTTGGGGTCTAGAAGAAGTAGTGTATTCCAAGTTGAAGCAAAAACTGGAAGCCGAATTTCCACATATACAATGCTGCCTGATTACCCAGCAAATAGTGGCAGATCTGTGAATCTGAAATCAGCACTTTATATTACAAGGACTGATTATTCTTTGACGTCATTTGCTCTAAACTCAAATAAAGTTGTGTGGAATGTGTCAGTTGCTGAAATTGGGGCAGCTTTTCTTTGCCAAGGTTTTGATGACCCGACTGATTTCAACATGCCATTGCCATGCAACTCATGGGCTCCAGTTCATCGCTTTCGTGGTCACAATTTACTAGAATGTCTGTCCACTCCCAATTGCTTGCTTAATGTCATTCTTTTATCTTCACATTACACCGACAAATATTCAAACAATCATCGTGAAGATGGACCAAGGATCAAAGGCATTAGCCAACTTATCAATAATGGAAGATTCAGCGTGTTCGTTTTAATTGTTTTTGCTGCTATGCTTGTGGGAACCATTTTCCAGCATTATATACTTGGACACACCATTAGCTTATGGGGGGAAACTGCACCTCCCAAAAAGAAGAAATCAAACAAGTCTGCAAAGATTGAAGGAAATGGAGGGGAAAAGGATGCAGCAGACATTGAGACTGGTAACAAAATGTTGTTAAACCTCAACCATCCAACTTCACACAATGCAGATGGCCGGACAATTGGTAAATTATTTGTCTTCTTCGATAAGGAGATTGGTAAAGGAAGCAATGGGACGATTGTTCTCGAGGGCATCTATCAAGGCCGTCCAGTTGCTGTGAAGCGTCTAGTGAGGGCCCATCATGATATTGCTTTTAAAGAAATGCAGAATCTGATTGCATCCGATCAACATCCAAATATTGTTCGATGGTACGGAGTGGAGCAAGACCAAGATTTTGTTTATATGGCATTGGAGCGCTGCATTTGCAGTTTGGATGACCTTATCCAGATCTGCTCGCTCTCTTCACAAAATAGTAATAATGATACTAAAAGGATTGTGGATCCTGAATCTATGCAGTATAGGATTCGCTTGGATTCTTTGAAACTTGATATGCAGGGTATAAAGTTGTGCAAGGAAAACGGCTATCCTTCGGCGACATTACTCAAGCTGATGAGGTCAGTATGCATGCTTGAGGCTGAAATTATACTTTTTGGGCCACCAATATCAAGTGATAGATAATAGGTCCACTCACTTTTCATTTTCTTTTCTCAATTTCCTTAAGACTATCTTTCCAAAGACTCATTATTTTTTGGCTTGGGAATATGATGGAATAAAGCAAAATAGCTCACTAAACTGTCTGCACTTCTTTGTTATGAAGCTGCAGTCAGTCCATGCAATTTTTGATGCGATTTTAACTATGAGTCATCCGAAAACAGTCTCTCTGTACTTCTCTATACTTTAGTAGAGGGGTAAGGCTGCGTACATCCGACCCCCCTACCCCACCGTAGGTGGGAGCCCTTGCGGCACTTGGGTAATGACGACGATGATGATGATTTTCCTTAAGACTATATTGGTTCCCAGAAGTTGTAGGGAAGATGGGTTGCATGAGTTTGATTTTACCGTTGGAAATATGCAGCCAACACAGATTTTATTTAAACTTTTTTATTTACATAAATCTAGATTTCTCAGTCTTTATGTAACAATAAGTAAAATGGGTTTGAACAACTATGCAGAATGGATTTATGGATTTACACCAATATTTTCTTTCCCAATCCCCTCCCCTCCAAACCTCAGTCTAGATTTCTTAGTCTTTATGTAATAATTAGTATGATGGGTTTGAACAACTATGCACAATTGATTTATGGATTTACATCAATGTTTTCTTTCCCAACCGCCCTCCCTCCCTCCAAATCTCCCTTCTATTCTCCTCTCAATTCTCTTTCCCTACCATTTTCAGTGCTCCAAATGAACCTTGAGTGGACTTCAAACTGCACCTTATTTCTCAGCGATGAAAACCTAATAGTCTGATTTCAATTTGGTGTGATACTAATCATTCCTAGCCATGTGCACTACAAACTTAGAGAAGTATTAAGATTTTGAGGTATCCACTTTTTTTGGGAATTTGCCTGATTATGTATTTTATTCCGACTTTGACACAGGGATGTGGTCTGTGGGCTGATCCATCTACACGAGTTAGGAATTATTCATCGAGATCTAAAGCCCCAAAATGTCTTGATAACTAAGGAAAGAGTATTGTGTGCTAAAGTATCAGATATGGGTATAAGCAAACGCCTTATTGGGGATATGTCTTCTTTAGGTCATCATGCAACAGGTAATTTACTACTTACCTGGCTATTTCATTAGCTAAGCATGTGATCTACTTTGAATTGGTTCTCACGTTTCACATAACTTCTCTCTTACTGTATAGAGATCAAGAAATTGATTATTGTATACACTCACTCTGTTAAAAAAAAGATGCTTGTTTGTAGATTCTTTTTGTACCAAAAAAGTTCTGATTGATTAAATAAAGCTAAAATTTTCATGTAGTTTATCAAAGTTGCCAAAAGAGAGTCACATACAAGTTATTTATGATAAATTTAGTTAAATTAAGAAATATAGTTAAAAGTATAAGTATGATTCATGCAATATGACAGCTGTAGCTCAACAAAATTTAAAGGTTGTATGTTGCTCAAGCATGGGTTTATGGGATGGAAGTAGTAAGCCCACCATCCATAAAAAAAGATCCTTGCAAAAGCTTTTTGCGATGAAAAAGGTCTGATTTTATGGGTTAACTTTGATTTGTAAGTACAATCCATGTAAAGCAAAGTGGCAAGTAGGTTTTGTCATTCACTCGATATAACATGGAAATAAGCTGGGGTATAAGTGACCATTCATAATTTTCAAAAGCTTGTATCTTGATTGAGTTGGCTAAAATAAAAGGTTGTATCTTACTCAAATGAGATTTTTTTGGGCATGGAGGGGGTATTTGCTAACTGAACTATGGTTTAATCCTTGTGTGTGCATTTTTTGCAGGTTACGGAAGTTCAGGATGGCAAGCTCCAGAACTGCTTCTTCAAGGGCGTCAAACACGTGCATTAGATTTATTTAGTTTGGGCTGTGTTCTGTTTCATTGTATAACTGGTGGTTGTCATCCCTTTGGCAACCCCCTGGAACGTGATATCAATATTACCAAGAACAGAATTGACCTATTTTTGGTTAATCATATGCCAGAAGCGGTGGAACTCCTCTCTGGCTTATTAGATCCCAATGCTGAGATGAGGTAAATTTTAAAAAATGAAATCTAGCTGCACTGCTGCAGTAGTGCTGTTCCTTTAGGGTCTATTTGGATGGGGTTTTTTGGAGAGGCAGGCTTTGAATGGCTTAGTGTATATCTTGATAAATAGAATGTATCAAAAACCGAATAAAAAGTGATTGGAATGGGATGCAAACTCATATATATATGGTTCATGTGATTGCGACATTGCGTGCATTTATAAGTTTCATTTCAACAGAATTTCTTTAAAAACATTGCAGGCCAAATGCGGGAGAGGTTCTTGCTCATCCTTTCTTTTGGACATCCGAGACGCGATTGGCATTCCTTCGTGACACTAGCGATAGGGTAGAAGTAGAAGATAGGGATAGTGGTTCGGTTTTATTAAAAGCACTGGAATTGGAAGGGACATCTGTGTGTGCATGGGATTCAAAGCTGGACCCCGCACTCCTCCATGACATAGCCCGTTACAGGCGTTATCAGTTCCACAGTGTCCGTGACTTGCTCAGGCTCATACGTAACAAGTCCAATCATTACAGACAGCTTCCAACTGAAGTTCAGGTGGTTTTCTCACAACAAAATATTAATATAAGGTCCGTTTGGGACTAGGGAAAGAAAATAGGGATATATAATGTGAAGGAGTATGTCTTGAAAACATTAAACATATTTGATTTTTTTTGCATTACCCGACGTAAAACTAGATATAAAGAAATAACTTTGATTAGGATCAGAACATGTGTATTTGATCAGAATATGTTATTCTGTTTATCTTTGGCTATTTGCACCTCCAACTTAACTTGATAGCATTACAGGAACTTTTAGGGCCATTGCCGGAAGGATTTGATGCCTATTTCACAAGCCGATTTCCTCGACTGCTTATTCAGGTTTACAAAGTTGTGTCCTCACACTGTAGGAAAGAAGAGTTCTTCCATAAATACTTCTCAAACTCTACACTGTAATATTTTATCTTTCGACTTATATAACTACGCTTTGATACATACTTGTTTGATACCTCTAGTGTTTCGTGTACATACACATCCCCGTTAAATGTTTATCCTGATTAAACACCATTGATTTTCACTTACTGGGCTGAAATGGATTATAGAACCTTCCTTTAATATTCACATTTCAACCAAGCACTTACCGAACAATGTTTGGACTTTGGACCATGCCAATATGTTTTGTGAAGTTTTACCTCTTAATTCTATATTTATCAAAACATAAAGGTAAAACTTAACGAAGCAATATAATACCCCAATCTCTTTCAAGATGGTAGAGCTCCATTGTGTTAAAACTCGGGGTTTATCCTAAAAGGTCAACCTGATAGAAGGTGTAGTCCAAAGCCTTATATAATGTTTTATTGTTTTATAACGTTCCGGTGTGAAACAAATACTTTAACACGCCCCCTCAGCCCGAATCAAGCTGGGCAATATCGGGGTGTATAAATGGGCCAAACAGACCCTTAACAAGCTACCCGTAATCATGAGTGCTAAACAAGCAGTCAAACCACAACCGAAATTGGCTCTAATACCATGTTAAGACCCGAGGTTTCATTCTAAAAGGTCATATGTGTGTGAGAGAGGGAAAGACTAAGCATTGCAGTGAGAGAATATTTGTTAATGGTCAACTTATGTTCTTAGATCCATTTATATAAGCATCACCACCACCACCAATATTTGTCTATGTCTCTATATATATAATTAGGATCAATTTTTTTTATAACCCGAAATATAAACCACCCATCGGTGGGTAAATTCCGAGGAACATTTATCGAATTTTATTAAAATAAAAATAGTACAAAACGAGAGGACACTAGATCAAAACCTCTCAAAAGAAGGCATACCTCCTCGAAATACATGAACAGAAAAGTAAACGAAAGGAAAGAAATATAGTAACAAAAAGCGGGAAGAGTTGAAGCATCTAAGTGAACCAATGTTTTGACAAAGAGAAAAAGAGATTAGCGAATACAGGGAATATCAAGGGAGTCCAATTCAATAAGATTTAATGGAATTGGAAAGATTGTGCTTATTATAAAAGTACTTGAGCTGACTAAGATGTATGCCATCCTGGGCCAAAGCATGAGCTACTGAATTAATCTCCCTGTAGATATGCCTTATTACACACACACCCAACTCCTCACAGATCTTCCGAGTCATATCAACTGTACACATCAGATGAAAAGGCGAATGTTGAGCACCTTTCAAAGCTCTGATAACCATCTCAGAATCATATTCAAGCTAGAAATCCTGAAAGCCTTGATCTTTACAACATTTTAGAGCAATGTATCCGCTTTAAGCTCGGCTTGCACAACCGTGCTTGCTTTAATCGGAAAGGATATAGTCATGAGCAAGCTCCCTCTATCGTCTCTAAGCACTCTTCTTAAGATCAAATAAGAAGAGTGCTTATTGTAAAAAGTGAGAATGCATCTCGTGCATTGAATTTGAGATCTAATGGTTGTTACAGTGCAAAAATTGTTAAAAAGTGATGAGCAACATGGTGTTTTGTAATTAACTCAAGCTTTTATGCTATCGGGTAAAAGTGCATTAGATAAGCGTAAAATTGCAACAAGAAGGACTAAACGCGAATCCCTCTCATTTCTCACATTAAGATGTCTTCATATCCAATCCTATATAGAATTATATATATATATAGAGTAGTCTTCCGGTCAGGTATACCTGACCAGAGCCCCGTCCGGCCTCCTCCATTTGGGGGTCTTCCCGGTGGTATTTTTTGCTCAAATTTTTTGTGTAGGTTCCTCATCAAGTCTAGTTCATCTATACCAAATTTCAGCCAAAAATTCAATCGGGAAGGTCGTCAAATGATTTTTGCAAGTTAACTGGTCCGGAATATGTATTTTAAAGTATTGCAAAATGCCAAATTGGCGCCACGTGATTCCAACCTTTAGATCAATTCAACAAATGAGCAAGATGAGTTTATAGCTTGTAAATTAGGAGAAGTTTGTCTTTTATCACTTATATATATATATATATATATATATATATATATATATATATATATATATATATATATATATATATTTCTTAGGCCTCTTTCATTTGAGGTGCTTCTGGGTCGAATTTTTTGATGAAATTTTGTGACCAGGTTCTCCATGGATTGAAGATTATGTCCACCAAGTTTCAGAATAAAATTCAATCGGGAAGTCGTTTAAATAAATTATTGAAAAAAACTACATTTTATATATGTTAAAACCTGCACAATTTTGAAAAAATTATTTAACCGACTTCCCGATTGAATTTTATTCTGAAATTTGGTGGGCATAGTCAACACTTCATGGAGAACATGCTCACAAAATTTCATCAAAAAATAAATCCCGGAAGCACCTCAAATGAAAGAGGCCTAAGAATTTCAATTCTTAGGCCTACCTTACTTGAACATTTTCCTATATATATATATATATATATATATATATATATATATATATATATATATATATACCAATTTATGTAAAAGAGAGAGACTAAGAATTGCTTTGAGAGAATATTTGTGAATGGCATTGTTATTACAACAGTGCCTTGGAAAGCCTAGCCGGCAACTCAGCGTTCTCACAATGGGAAGTGCTCGCTAGGTTTCGTCACCTCGCTAGAAGAAGAAGAAGAATAGGCGACTTAGGCATCATCCAAACATCGTCTAGGCAAGCTTTTGGCATTAAGGCGTCTCCAGGTTTTATGTTTAGAAAGGCTAACCGCAATCCCATAAAATTAGATTTGGTTTTAGAAACAAAATTTTAGGAAACTAATTCAAGGGACTTCAGGTATTTATTAGAGCCATCATTGACGTAGAAGAGTTTCAGAATGCCACAAGTTCAAAGCGCAGATGCAGTGACGAACCCCAGTGTTGAAGTAATATGAAGTAATAAAACATTATATTAAAATGAAACATGAGTCATAACATGACATCAAAATCAAATCGATTCATACTCATGATATAAGCCCCTTAAGAAAAAATTGACGACACAATTATAAAAAAATGCCAATGACGAACCAACAAAAAATGAATAACGACATGATTCAGACGAAGTGTCTGGTCATGGGAAGAGATATTGAAGTCCCACACTGGTAAAATATGAAATAATAAAGTACTACATTAAAACCTTGAGCTGCTATTCTTCCTATCAAGTTGACCTTTTAGGATAGAATCTCGAGTTTTAATATTCAATAAAAGTTGTTCCCAGGTCCTAAATCCCAATCTGTTCTACCTGTATGTTATAGTCAGATTAAATATAAAAACCGAGTACTCCACTACCCGTACAATTTTATAAAGTATAAAAAGTACGGAGTATTAAGCTATTTGAGACGGGCATTTTTACTCTTCATTCCCATTAATAAACCTTGTCTCTAATTATTAAATGTTAGTTTCAGTTGTAGGTTATACAGTTTAGTTAGTAATATATTATACATAATATATCAAGTAGTATAAATTACAAATTAAATATAGTTAAACCGAATATTATGAATATCATACTACGTATATAATTATATATATATAATAATTATATATATCATTATATATATGAGAGCTCTTCCTGTCCGGAATTTTCGGACAGGATCCTGGTCCGGCCACCTCAATTTGAGGTGGTTCCCGGTGGTATTTTTGACCCAAATTTTTTGTGTATGTTCCTCATCAAGTCTAGTTCATCCATACCAAAGTTTAGAAAAAAATTCAATCGGGAAGGTCGTCAAATGATTTTTACATATTCCGGACCAGTAAACTTGCAAAAATCATTTGACAACCTTCCCGATTGAATTGTTTTCTGAAATTTGGTATGGATGAACTAGACTTGATGAGGAACATACACAAAAAATTTGGGTCAAAAATACCACCGGGAACCACCTCAAATTGAGGTGTCCGGACAGGGGAGTGGTCCGGCCTGGCCTGACGGGAACCGCCGTCCGGCCGAGGGCATTTCCCGATGGAATTTTTTTATGAAATTTTTTGAGCATGTTCTTCATGAAGTCTAGTTTATCCATACCAAATTTCAGATCAAAATTCGATCGGGAAGGCATTCAAATAATTTTTTGAAGTTGACTGCGTCAAAGTATACATATAAAAACCCAGTCAACTTCAAAAAATTATTTGAATGCCTTCCCGATCGAATTTTGAGCTGAAATTTAGTATGGATAAACTAGACTTGATGAAGAACATGCCCAAAAAATTTCATCAAAAAATTCCACCGGGAAGTGCCCGAAATGCCCTCGGCCGGACGGCGGTTCCCGTCAGACCGGCTGGACATGAAAAGTCCTATATATATATATATATATATATATATATAAACTATATATATGACACAATGTGCAACTAGTCGCCCAATTGCCGCCTAGGCAATATGGCAGTCGACTGGCTCCCCGACTTGCCTTACCACCGTGACAACCATGGTGAATGGTCAATTTATGTTCTTAGATCCATTTATACAAGCATCAACATGACCACCAATACTCCTACCTGAAGCCTCCTCCATTTGTCTCCTCTTGATTGACCGGCTTTTCACATAATCTTCCTTCTCATCTACAAATGAAAGGAAAGTGTGGAGCCTCCCTGTCCGGGAGCTTCCACCACCACTGCTAGACGGATCAGGATCAGACGAATACCTCTTGAACTGGTAGGTGAGAAGTATGAAGTACAGCATTAGAGCTAAGAAGCTCACAGCCCCACAGATGGAAAAGAGACCTGCAAAGCTCCTTAGATCAAGACGGTCAACTTCAAACTTTGTGTTCTGTGATGTGCAAGCACTTCTCGTAAGCCATTTTTCATGGATTCTCTGAAGCTCTCCATTTTCTGAGAGTTTTAGTATTGCGGTTGACAAGTCCACTGCCAGAGGAGAGTCCCTTGGGAAAGCCTTAACCAAATATTTTGAGATTAGAATTTAGAAACATGTTACACTACAATACACTAGGATGATGGGTTTTGTGATGCAAAGGTTAAGAGTCAATACACACTACGCCGGATCACATACATGTTCTCAAAACATTTAGGTACCAACTGCTGTACTGCAGCCTATTGTTTGATGGGATCTAAGTGGAATGTGGAAGGGTCTAAAGTCCAGGGGGGAATTAATTGGGAATAGTAGTGGATTTTTTAATAACAAAATGACTTTTTCATGCATGTGAAAAAAATACCCTGTGAAATTGTGGCTGAAATGGTTGAAAATATAGAAAGATCACTTAGAGCAAACTTACAAAGCCCCAACCGTTCTTCTGAAACTCCTGGCCTACAATACTGAACTCACAGTGTGTTGATAAAAAAACTTCCATGTAGGCACGTTCATCAACCACAGCCATAACACCACCATTTGTAGGACCCTTCCTTAGAGCATCCACATAATCTTCAGGCAAATTAAGAGGAACAAGCCTAGATGCATGAATACCAAGCTCCTCAACCAGATAATTCCGTGTAAATGAACCAAGTTGATAACCGATTGGATCGTTCGAAGTCAACAAGCTCTCGATCCCTTTCACCGCAGAAGAAAGACGTTGAACAGTGAGGATTGAGGTTAAACTAGCAGTGTAGCTTGAGGTTATGATCAAGACCACGAAAAGCCATACGATTAGGACGACTCGGCCAAGGGTGCTTACTGTAGTTTCCTCTGAGGGGCAAAAAGGACAATAAGGAATTTCATTTAAAAAAAGCTTGTCAGGTTACTGAAGTTCATTAATGTGTGGAGTAGTTCACTTACTGTGTGCAAAGAAGAGAGTTGAAAAGCTAAACCTGAAATTGGAAAACCATAAAGCTTAGTCACTTTGGAGCACGTGACTCAAAGAAAGAATAATCCTTGATTTTTTTTTTGCTTCTAGATGTTTAGGGTCTGTTTGCATCCGGAAATGATTGGGAAAGAAAATATATAGGAAATGTTTGGGAGGAAAAAATGTTGGGCAAAGTTAAAAAACTAGTTCAAACTCAATAAAATAATTTTGGAAGTTTATTCAAACTCGTTATATTTTTCCATCATTTCCAATGGAGTAAAGACTCACTATTTTTGGGCATGGGAATACGATGGAATGAATAGAAATATGTCTCACTAAACTGTTTGTGCTTCTTTGTTATGAAGTAGCAGTCAGTCTATGCAATTTTTATGCGATTATCATTATGAGTCCTCATTTGCATGTTACTGTCTGCGCTTCTTTGTTATGAAGCAGCGGTCAGTCAATGCAATTTTGGACGTGATTTTCACCATGGGTCATCCGGAAACAGTCTCTTTGTGCTTTAGTACAGGGGTAAGACTGTGTACATCCGACCCCCCTTACCCCACCGTAGGTGGGAGCCTTTGCGGCCCTGGGGTAAATGATGAATGAAATGAATGATTATTATGAGTCCTCCAGAAACAGTCTCTTTGTGGTTTAGTACTAGTGTAAGGCTGTATACATCCGACCCCCTTATCCCACTGTAGGTGGGAAGCCTTTGCGGCATTGGAATAATGTTGTAGTTGTATTCAAACTCGTTATATGATAAAGACAAAGAAATCAAATATACGCAAAGTTGTAAAACCTTTAATGAAATTTGATTTTTGCTCTTTTACTTTCCATTCAAAGGAAAACCAAACATAAAGAACTGTTTTCCTCGCATATTTTCCCTTTCTATACCATTTCCTACATTACAAACAAACTTTAATGTTTAGCCTCATTCCAACATATATCCCTGACGCACTCTTTACTACTAAAGACACTATAGTAAAGATAGAATATGGTAGTGATAGGAACAAAAAAATTAAAATCAACGGGGTGAACCGTTGCCCAGATAATCAACGATAAATAAATACCGTTGCCCAGAGCTAAAAGGCTAAACCAACTTTTATTCCAAGATGATCAAGAATGAAGCATACAAGGGGTAAATAACCTTCTAGGTCTAATAAGAATAGGAATCCTAATTAAATTATTCTAGGAAACTGAATGGAATAGGAAACCTCTAGTTCTAATAGAACTCCTAATTAAATCATTCTAGGAAACTAAATAGAAACAGGAAACCTCTAATTCTAATAAGAATATAAGTCCTAAATAAATCCTACCAGGAAACAAATTAAATTAGGAAACAAAATAAAAGAAATAATAAATATTAATTAAACAGCCCACAACCAGCCCACGGAGGTGGGCTCAAGCCCGTCCCGCCCCATGCTCTTCCCGCTTCATATCAATCCATCCTCCTTCAAATTAACCTTGTCCTCAAGGTTGAAAACTCGCGGATCGGGAACTGAAATTTGCAGACATAGAATAGACTGGAAAATATTCTTCTTCTCTTTCCTGAACCTTTTCCTGGCCGGTTATTTCACAGAATTCATGCTGCTTGAGGTCCAACTCTTCATCCTACTCAGCTATCATTACCTGCAGCTGCTTAAAGGGGCAGTCATGTGTTGGCGTAAATGGTTTCTTACACCTAAAGCATAATCCCTTCGCCCGCAATTCTGCAAACTCTTTTGGCGGAAGACGAGTGAACTATGAGCGTGTCATGGACTGCCCGAACTGCCCTGATCTTGTCCCTGGAGGCTGTCCACTGTCTTTCGCCAAGCTGCCCTCCGAACCCTGTAAACTGCCACCAATGGTGGTCAACGGGGAACTTGTGTTTGCCCTTAAAAGGCTGCTAGAACGTACCCCTGACGAATGATAATTCAGGCTGTCACTTTCTCCACTTTGGACGGACAGATTATACTCCACTTCGCAAGCTAATTCCATCGCCATCTCCAGGTTGTTTGGTCGAAGCAATCGCAACGAGCTTCAGATTGTTTCCTTAAGACCGCTCATGTAATATCCCAAATAGTTCTCATCAGACAAACCCAAGATTTGACTTGCCAACTGGACAAAAGGAATGTTACTCCCTCCGTATCAATTTAATTGACCCATTTGCTTTTCACGCAGTTTAAGACAATTACTGTAGACTTTATTAAAAGTTAGAGGTTTTTGGTACTGTAGCGACACTGTAGCGGTACTGTAGCAGTACTGTAGCTGCTTTTTGAGTGGGATTCTTTCCAAAAAGGGAAAGGGGTCAATTAATTTGATACCCAAAAAAGGAAAGTGGGTCAAGTAATTTGATATGGAGGGAGTATAATCCTCCACAGTTCCAGCTTGCTTGACTCCAGACAGTCGTTCAAACCGGTTTCCCTGGTATCGAGAATCAAATCTGGTAACCAGGGCTTGTTTGAATTCTTCCCAGTTTATACCGGGTTTGCGTGATCTCAGCCATGTAACCCAGTAAAGCGCTCCACCTTCCATGGCTACCATAGCGGCAGCCACCTTTCTCTCTGGTAGGGTTGCCTGTAACTCGAATTGCTGCTCCACCCGGGCTAACCACCCGATCGGGTCCCACCCATCAAACGTGGGTAGTGGCGTCGGAGTTGGATTACGCCCTCCCCCGTCAATATGCGGCACTGTCAGCGCGCCGATGTTGGCTCCCACCGCGCCGATGTTCAGTGACCCAGGCGGTACCAACGCCTTTGGTTAACGCGGCCAGAGAAGCCGCGATTTCCTCCAGTTTCGCACCGTGATCTCTGAGTGTCAGGTTCATCACCTCCAGTTTCGTACCATGGTCGTCGAGTGTCAGGTTCGTCCGGGTCTGTTCGGCACCCAGTCGGGCCACCTCCTCTCCCGTGCGACTTTGTTCACTTTCCAATTCTTGCAATTGATCACTTTGAGATCTCGTCATTGTGGCGGGACGGGATCCGGCAGGTCGGACCAATTGATAGGAACAAAAACAATAAAATCAACGGGGTGAACCGTTGCCCAGATAATCAATGATAAATAAATACCGTTGCCTGGAGCCAAAAGGATAAACCAACTTTTATTCCAAGATGATCAAGAATTAAGCATACAAGGGGTATAAATAACCTTCTAGGTCTAATAAGAATAGGAATCCTAATTAAATTATTCTAGGAAACTGAATGGAATAGGAAACCTCTAGTTATAATAGAACTCCTAATTAAATCATTCTAGGAAACTAAATAGAAACAGGAAACCTCTAATTCTAATAAGAATAGAAGTCCTAAATAAATCCTACCAGGAAACAAATTAAATTAGGAAACAAAATAAAAGGAATAATAAATATTAATTAAACAGCCCGCAACCAGCCCACGGAGGTGGGCTCAAGCCCGTCCCGCCCCATGCTCTTCCCGCTTCATATCAGGTAGTTAGAAACATACCAGAGAATGGTGATGAATTGCTTTCTAGGAGGTCCACGAAAATCCTCATTCATTCTGTGTTCCAAAAACCAGACGACGGCCCCCACAATGAGGAAAAAGATTCCAGTAATAGCCCACATAGGAGGAGTGAAAGGTCTAAGAAAAGCCCAAGCACTTGAGCTCAATTCTTTCACAGGTACCACCACAACTAGCCCTGATTCAATGTAAGGTTGAGTAAAGTCGGCCATCTTCGTTCGCTTGGTTGTGATCGCAATGTCCCCTACTGCTGCATCATAAACCTGAAACCATACCATTCCCAGTTTTTCTTTTAGTCATAAGAGTTGGGATGGGGTTCAACCTAGGCACAAAGAGTAAAGTTTGGGTGCTAATTATTAGGTTCAGGTTTCGAACCCAAATTTCTAAATTACATTATTCCATCTAGTACAAGCAGTGAGGATCGTATGTCAGACTATCTTCCCGGCTCAGATTTCCTGAGTTCGGTTTTCCAAGGGCAAACCACAGCGCTACCCTAGACCACAATGGTCTATACCACCTTCACCAACTACAAACCAGACATACAACATAACCAACATAAGCTAAAATATCTCTTCTAAACCCATAACTACAATTTACAAGCACACCAATTACACTATCCAATGGATGTATTCCCTTCAGTCCTTATAAAACACAAACCTTTAAGGAGGAGACAGTGGTCCTTATATGAGGCATGGTTTTTTCCAACAAGTAGTTAACGTTGTTCTCCCATTGTTTAATATTATGTCCCTAATAAATGTTGAGTCATATTTTGAAAGTATACATGCATGATAATGTAGTGGTTGCACTATCTTTTAGAGATCAGGAAAATGAACTAATTTACCGAGTTGGACATAACATTAGGTTGCACCCGAACCTTATGCTTGTGTGTCTATCTATATATATATGTATAGCAATGTAAAGTGTATACGTAGTATTAAATAAACTTAGAGCCTTAGCAACTCACCCCGGAAGTGATTAGATGCACAATTTCTGTATGGTTTGGGTTTTTAAGGCCATCCCCTAAGGACACAAACTTGTAAGGGACAGAATATGGTAATAAGGTAACAGCATTAGTGAAAACTTCAATGCAGTAGCCTCTGAACATATCATCATCATCATCATCACCACCACCTGTCACCTGCCCTACAAATTCCTGAAAACTAACCCTTTTAGGGACACCTATTTTTAACTTCTTTCCATTGTTAGGGAATACCCAACCTCGGGGCTTGCTGGTCATTTGACCAGGCCATATCATGCCGTGTAGTCGTTGATTTGAAGAAGAGATGTTTGATGGTTTTGAGTAAAGCGATTCAGGAGGATTAACTGATAGTCTGGAATAATTTGACCAATAACCAACCCTTGTAAATCCATTCCCTACCATATTTATGACCTCAAATGCTGGTCTGTTTAGGTCCCTATCTGATGTGAACCTGATGTAACAAACTATATAGATCAGGGAAAAAAGAATAATACAATTACTGCTCCATACTAAATATACTCCATACAAAAATAAGCATAACATTAGACAAATTATGCACCAATAATGGTAATTGAACGTGAGCACTGAATTGGTCAATAATGGAAAACAATAGGACTGAATAAACCTCTAAAAGGCAGTTGACGTTGCTGCTATTTTTTAGCCCTTAGTGGGAAGTTGGTTATGGCATGACTCATATCTTCTGAAGTGTAATCCACTACTTTATTGCATTATTAGTAAGTAGTATAAATACTTGCTAATTAGCTCTATCCTAGGGAAGATATTACTGGAAATTATCGTGGAAATTATCATGTCATAACAGGAGACTTGTCCCTTCCAAATGGACAATTTCTCAATTCTCACTCTCTTTTTATTTTTTGTCAAGACTTGGAGTTTCTTGTCAATCTCCTAGGAGGAGTAGCCCACGACTTTATATGTTAGCTTGCATTTTTATATGCAATTTATGTGAAATAGCTTAATACGCCCCACAAAATGGTTGCTCATTGTTGAAATAGAGCACATAAACTAAGAAATAATATTGGAGAGGAAAGGATTTTCTGTGTATTTCATTGAAGGGTAAGGCCCTTTAAATATAGATTACAAAGATAGAATATTCCTATAAAAGATGCTATACAATAATACTATATATGGTATATTCCTAAAATATTCTAAAGCATATTCTAAAGTATATTATAATATACTTTCACACTCCCCCTCAAGTTGGAGCATAGATATTTATCATGCCCAACTTGTTACATAAATAATCAACTCGAATTCCATTTAGTGCTTTAGTGAACAAATCTCCAAGTTGTTCCCCAGTCTTCACATATCCTGTAGAGATCAATCCTTTTTGTATCTTCTCTCGAATAAAATGACAATCGACCTCAATATGCTTTGTTCTCTCATGAAATACAGGATTGTTTGCTATGTGTATAGCAGCTTGGTTATCACACCACAATTTAGCAGGCATTGATGTCTTCAGTCCGAGCTCGGTCAATAAATGGCTTATCCATATGATCTCACATGCAGATTGTGCCATAGCTCGATATTCTGATTCGGCACTTGAACGAGAAACCACATTCTGCTTCTTACTCTTCCAAGATACAAGATTACCACCAACAAAGACGCAATAACCAGATGTAGATCTTCGATCATCTTTAGAACCGGCCCAATCAGCATCTGCAAAACATTCTATTCTCATGTGATCATGGTTTTGGTAAACAATACCTCGTCCTGGTGCACCCTTTAAGTAACATAATATGTGTTCTACTGCAGCCCAATGATCAATGGTTGGAGATGACATGTATTGACTCACTACACTCACAGAATAGGCAATATCTGGACGAGTGACTGCGAGATAATTAAGCTTTCCAACCAGTCTTCTATATCTTTCTGGGTCTTCAAACGGTGTGCCTTCTTGAGTGAGTTGCACGTTGGGAACCATGGGTGTTGTACTTGGTTTGGCCCCTAATTTCCCTGTCTCAGCTAGTAAGTCAAGTACATATTTACGTTGAGATAGAAATATGCCTTTCTTACTTCGTGTTACCTCAATTCCCAGAAAGTATTTCAAAGAGCCAAGATCTTTCGTCTGAAATTGACTATGCAGAAAATTCTTAAGGGCCAAAATACCTGCATTATCACTCCCTGTAATCACAATATCATCAACATACACCACAAGCAATGTGACACCTGATTCTGTTTGTTTGTAAAAGACAGGGTGATCTGATTTGGCTTTTATCATTCCAAATTGTTCAATTGATTGACTAAATTTCCCAAACCATGCACGAGGACTCTGTTTCAGACCATAAAGAGACTTGCGAAGTCGACAAACTTTACCATACTCCCCCTGAGCAACAAATCCCGGAGGTTGCTCAATATAGACTTCTTCCTTAAGGTCACCATGCAAAAATGCATTTTTAATGTCCAACTGATGTAAGTGCCAATCATGAGTTGCAGCGAGTGAAATAAGTAACCTGACAGATGTTAATTTAGCAACAGGAGAAAAAGTGTCAGAATAATCAACACCATAGGTTTGAGCATAACCCTTCGCAACTAATCGGGCTTTCAACCGAGCAACAGATCCGTCTGGGTTAACCTTAACAGCAAAGACCCACTTACATCCAATAGATTTCTTCCCTGTAGGCAAGTCAACCAAATCCCAAGTACCATTAAGATCTAAAGCATTCATTTCCTCTACCATGGCATGACGCCATTCAGGATGAGACAAAGCTTCTTTGACAGATTTGGGAACAGAAATAGAATCAATGGAAGCAATAAAAGAACATGAAGCAGGAGATAACTGATTGTATGACACAAATGAAGAAATAGGATGAGTACAAGACCGTGTACCTTTACGTAGTGCTATTGGGAGGTCAAGATCTGATGTGGAGACAAGATCTGAAGATGCAGGTACTGGTTCAGGACATGAGATCGGAGTCGAACTAGTATCAGGAAAAGTAATCACAGGTATCGCCGGTGGATGGTGATCAGGTGCTTTGTGTCGACGGGTGTATACCAAATGTACGGGAGGCCTAGGGTCAGGAACAGTAACTTGTGGAATATGTGTTGAAAGTGTGGACTCAGGAATAGTCATCGTGTAAATGAGTATATCATCATTACTCTCATGAATATCCGCCTTAGATGATGAAAAAGGCGTATTTTCATGAAATGATGCATCAATAGAAACAAGATACCGACCAGTACTCGGACAAAAACATCTATACCCCTTTTGGACTCGAGAATAACCCAAGAAAATACATTTTAATGATTTGGGATCTAACTTTGTAAGATGAGGATTAACATCTCTAACAAAACAAGTGCAACCAAATATTTTAGGTGGGATAGGAAAAAGCTCTTTGTTTGGAAATAGACAATGATAAGGAGCTTTACCATTCAAAACAGAAGATGGCATTCGATTTATCAAAAAACATGCAGTAGACACGGCATCTGCCCAAAACTGTTTAGGCACATTCATTTGGAATAGAAGAGCCCGTGCAGTTTCTAACAGATGTCGGTTCTTTCGTTCTGCAACTCCATTTTGAGGAGGTGTGTCAACGCATGAAGTTTGATGAATAATGCCATGTTGAAGCATAAATGACTTAAATGTAGCAGAAAGATATTCTTGGGCATTGTCTCCTCTTAACACCCGAACAGGAACGTTAAACTGAGTTTTAATTTCAGCACAAAAGGAAGAAAAATGAGTGAACAACTCAGATCGACGTTTCATGAAATACAACCATGTCATACGAGAATAGTCATCAACAAAGGTAACAAAATATTTAAAACCAACTTTAGACACAACCGGGCAAGCACCCCAAACATCAGAGTGAACAAGGTCAAATGGAGCATTTGCTCGTTTATTAACTCGCGGGCTTAAGCTAGTACGATGGTGTTTCGCAAATTGACATGACTCACATTGTAAAGAGGTCATCTTATTAAATTGGGGATTTATTTGCTTCATTAATGGGAGAGATGGATGTCCTAATCGGTAATGAGCATCTAACAAAGTCCCAACCCCAAGACAAGAGATACCTTTTGTGATGGATGTATCCAAAATATAAAGACCAGCTGACTCATGTCCTTTACCAATAATCTGCTTCGTTAACAGATCCTGAAACACACAATATCCAGGAAAAAATGTTACAGAACAATTAAGAGTACGAGTGATTTTACTGATGGAAAGCAGATTAAATGCAAAATTAGGAAGACTCAAAACAGGCGATAATGGTAATGTAGAAGTTGGAACAACAGTACCAGATCCAAGAACGGGTGATGTAGATCCATCAGCTAAAGTGACACTAGAAGTAGGTAAATATGAATGAAATGACGAGAATAGACTAGGATTACCGGTCATATGATCTGTGGCACCTGAATCAATGACCCATTTTGAGGATGATGAAACAAGACATGTGTTTGAAATACCTGAATTTGCGGCTACCGAGATAGGGACAAATGAATGCTTTAGAGATTCTTGGTAGCAAATAAATTTGGCATACTCATCTGAAGAAATAGCAACTGATCCATCGGATGAACTGGTAGCGGAAGCGACACGAGCAAGCTGATTTCCTTGATTTTTGAACAACAATTTTCTACATTCTTTGATCAAGTGCCCCGACTTCTTACAGTAATTGCATATTACTCGTCTGTCAAATCCACTCGTACAAGACATATTTTTTTTTTTTTTCGTATTTTTTTTTTTTTTTTTAGACACAATAATTAGATAAAGAAAAAGAGAGATATTCTGAAATCTTACAGCAGCCCAGCAGGTTCCCGTTTGTGGACTTTAAAATTTGGAGAATAAAATATCCAGGGCGTGGGACTCCAAACTTAATTTCAAGCTGTCGGTCTGATGCGAGATCCCAGTATGTGCGGAACAATCAGCGAAGGAGCAAGAGGAGCAAGCGGATGTTTACCAATATCCGAGACCAGACACCAGCGAGGCAGTGACCAACCCACCCTGGGGCGTCCACAGTATCCGATGCCAGACACTAGCGACCAACCACAGGCTTCCTTCGGTCCACAGATCCCGTCCCTTGCTGGACAAAGAACGAGAAAAGAAAAGTGTACCTGGCAGAGGACTTTCAGGAGAAGAGCTCCGGTCAAAACTCCGGCCAGAAAAGTGGTATCGCGCGCCGGGCTTGTGGTGGCGCGTGTAGCACACTCGCCTTGCAGTTGGATGTCGGATTTCGGCTGTTGGGTCGTCTGAGGTAGGCGCACCTCCTGAGTATTGCTTTGACTCGAATTCTGGCTTGAAGAATCTGGGGCTATAAAGCTAACTGAACTGAGTTTCTGTAAAATTAGTAGCTAATTGATTTTCTGGATTAAGAATCTGGTTCTAGGGTCTGGGTAGAGGTTCTGCAGACAAAAGGGTGTGTAAGGTTTTGGAGTTAACTCAGGTTCTGGAAGAGGTGCTCTGATACCATGTTGAAATAGAGCACATAAACTAAGAAATAATATTGGAGAGGAAAGGATTTTCTGTGTATTTCATTGAAGGGTAAGGCCCTTTAAATATAGATTACAAAGATAGAATATTCCTATAAAAGATGCTATACAATAATACTATATAGGAAAAATTGATAGTAATAATCCCAACTATTGGCGGTCCGCTCATAATAATCCCAACTATTGATTATTCCAGAATAATCCCAACTTTAGGGACCTTCCGCCAATAATGGTCCCTATAAATAAATTCTTGTACTTTCTAAAGTGGATGAGATGAGATATAGCAAGTAATCCCTATAAATAATCCCAATGTTTAATTTTTACGTTTAATATCTATTCAAAATTCACTTGTTATAGGAGGTAATATCTGGTCATGGACCATTATTGGCGGACGGTCTATATAGTTGGGATTATACAAAAATAATCCATAGTTGGGATTATTATCGGCGGACCACCAATAGTTGGGATTATTATTTTCAATTTTTCCTACTATATATGGTATATTCCTAAAATATTCTAAAGCATATTCTAAAGTATATTATAATATACTTTCACACTCATTGAATCAGACCAATCTTGTAGTTCAATTTTGGGGCTTACCAGGATCTAATTGTTCATTAGAGTTTAATCGGCTTTGATACCATGTCAAGATTTGGGATTTCATACTATTGGTGAACGTGACAGGAATAGCCCACGACTTTGAGCTTGTTAGGTAACTTCCCTTATTTATTTTGATTATTACACAACTCAGTGCGCGAAATCAAAAAATGGCCTGCTCATCTGCCCCTAATATCCAAATGTGAATTTGAGCATCATTCACCTCCCAAGTTTCATCCTTTGTGGCCCTAATATCCTTAGTGGCAGAGTTCTGTGTGGAAGAGTCATCCATGTGAGCCCACAAATCCTTTTCTTTCAGAAAGGTTTCAAATTGAAACGCCCATGATAGAGTATATGGGCCTGGACCCCATGCCCCACATACTCATAAAGTCAACGATGCCAAAAGAACATCCACGTGGCCCCCTTCAGCCCAGTAAGGGCCCGCAACGGCCAGAACCGGATCAGCCCAGGACACTGCCTGGAGGAAAGATGGGCCTCATCGGCCATGGACCGCATCGGCCAAAAGCACTGCATCGGCCAGGATGGCTCCTGGCAGAATGTAACTTTCTTACTTTATTTCGCTAAGTGTTGTACTCACCCCATTAGTGGCCCTATTTCGCCCAAAGAAGGCATGATTATTGTAATGGGCCTCCTAAGTGGATAGGAGCCCAAATCCACATTTTCCCTATAAATACTCCCCTTGGGGGTAGTTATTAGGGGTTGAGAAATATTAATTGCTCACTTTCTCTCTCTAGCTCTCACTTCTCTCTAGAATTAAATACTCTATCAGCCCAAGTAACATAATTCTTGCAATCAAATCGAACACACAAATTTTCAAATTTATCCCATGATAACAAAAAGAGCTGAGATAGAAGATGGCTGTAACTAACGCGGTGATGCCAACCAAGAGCTGAGACAGCAGAATCTGAGAGGAAACCCTAAGGTTTGTGTTAAAAATCCGAGACGTCGAGCAAGAACTCCATGAACAAACCTAAGTGAATTTTAAAAAATAACTGCTGAAAAAATGCTTATGGCTCTGATACCATGTCACAAATATTACTAGAAATGATAAAATCATGATTTAAAATCAGGAATTAAGAACTGGGAATTCTGGAAAACTTAAGCTGCCTTGCTCAGCTGTTTATTTACACTTAGAAAGGCAACATATGAATATATGTGCAAGGAAACAAATCAAGAGATCCTTACAATTAATGCAAGATATCCCTGCACTTAATGCCAAATAAAAACTTCCTATGATTACAAAGATTCAATAAGGTAACAAAGATATATTTCCACTGATTCTCTGATTGACAATCAATACGTATTACTCTGAAATTAAAAATTATTGCCGAGTTGACTCTGAACATGGGAACCACTCCACTTTTAATTCTCTGTGATCGAGATCCGCCTGTTCTAGACCCTTTTGTGTCGGGAGAAACAAACAATGATGACCTAGAAAAATAACTACTGTCTCGTGATGCTATGCTAAAACTTCTTTGGGAGAACCTCCAAAGCGCTCAATGCCAGATAAGAGCTCAAGTTGACTCCAAACGTCGGAAGTTGTCTTTTGAGGTAGGAGATGATGTCTTCCTTTAAATTCAACCTTTCCGTCAACGTTCATTTTCCAAGCGACGGTTTGAAAAGTTGTCCCTCGTTTTTTTGGCCCTTATTCGATAGTTCATCGAGTTGGTCGCTCTACCTGAAGATTGCAAAATTCATCCAAACTTTCATGTCTCCTTGTGGCGCATTGCTTATGGACAGTCCCCTTCGGTTCCGCCCACTGCCCTTCCTAATTCTACTGATTAGGAGTATGTGTTACATCCTGAAAAAGTGTCACCAACGGGTTTCTTGTTCTAATTTGGAATTGTTGGTGCGATGGGCAGGCCGTCCTATCGTCGAAAACGCAACTTGGGAAGATTATGACCTACTTTCCGAGCAGTTCCCTTCTTTCTACCTGAGGACAAGGTGACTTTTCAGGGGGGGAGTACTGATAAGCCACTAAGAACTTGTTCTCACCTGAAGAAAAAACCTCTGAAAGGCAGTTGACGTTGTTGAGTTGCTGTTTTTTAGCCCTTAGTGGCTTAGTGGGAAGTTGGTTATGGGCATGACCGATGCCCTGTAAAGTATAAACCACTACATTATTGCATTATTAGCAAGTATAAATACTTGCTAATTAGCTCTGTAATAGGGAAGATATTACTGGAAATTATCCTATCGTAAAAGGAGACTTGTCCCCTCGAAACGGAGAGAGAACCTTGGGAAATTTGTTCAGATACTATAAATTTCACAATCCTCGCTATCTTTCTATTTGTCTTTATCCGTTTACATTTGCGTCATCAGACTGCCTATACTCTTTTGACTGAAGTTGCAAGTTTTGCTGAACATAAACATTTTTCATATACACTTTATTTTATTATTTGTTGTTTTAAACTGTGATGTCATATGTCGATTCAAACCCAAACTCTTTTGGGACTAAGGTTGGATGTTGTTGTTGTACTTTCATCATTTTGTCACTTAAAATATACTCTCTCCTCTTCCTTTTCAAAACTTCATGGATCTCCACCCCAATTGGACACATTTCACCCTTAAAAGAAGGGCTGTAAAATAGCTTTTGACTTGGTTGAAATAGATGTTACAAAACCCTCTTCATACGCATAAAATTCAAAAAATCCTACTATTTCAGCCAAATAAGATGTATTTACCAAACAGACCCTCCTGACTCCTGAGTAGTATTGAGTTAAAATGTGCAACATGCCTAATACAGTAATACCTTAATGGACCTGTCACGCCGGTCATTTCCTCCTTAAAAATCATCTCCCTCAATAGATTCCCACCATCAAAGACACTCATGGAATCTAGACGCAGACGCTCTCTGCTACCTTCCAGCCTTGGATCTTTGGAAAATGAAATGTTTCCACCACCCTCAAAGAACGCATTAAGCGCACGGGCAAGCAACCAAACGGTGTCATAGGCATATAAACCATATGTGCACAATCCCAACTGCCAGTTAAATGCCAGACTTCTAGTCATATTGCTCCACCTATAGTAAACCCATGAATGAATAAATGAATGAATGAATAGTATGCACAAGAACAAAAAGAACCTACAAAAAGGAAGAACAAACTAGCGAATGAAGAACACTTCTCAAGAATCCTGAATAGTTTTCACTCACCAACAATAATAGTAATAATAATAACAATGATAATTATAACGGTGATAATAATATCAACAGCAGCAACAACAATGATGATAATATTATATCCTAACCCTATCAACGTGTTCATCAACAAACCTGGAGATAAAGTCCCTTTTTAATCCCGAGTCTGGGGTGTGTATGCGTAGTGTAACAACTCCTTGAATGTCTTCCATTGTTTCCGGAGAAAGCGGGCTGATGGTATCAAATATGGTTGAGAGCCAATGTGTAGTGATCCACACATACCCGCTCTCCATCATCCTTAAACTCTTCGCCACCGAAAATATACTCAGGCTGTTTTTTTCAGGGTAAGTGTGGACAACGAAAATTCGGGACTCTGATAAAGCCACCTGAATTAACACATCCCTTATATCATCAATTGTTGCTTTAGGCTTCAAAGCAGCTTTGTAAGAAATCTGGCATCTTCTCAGAGCCAATTGATCCCCTAATAATATTCAACATAAACAAACAGATTTGTTAATTGCTCCAGTCCATAGTAGTATATACTCTACAAATTTACCTCGCAGAAGTTCTAGACAAGATATTGGAAACAATAGGGTAGGAATCGTAGTATTTCACATATGGTATGTGGTATTCAAATCTACCTAAAGTGCATAACGCTTCCAAAGGGTACAAATAAGACTAAGGCCCTGTTTGGTAACATTTATAAGCTTATTCTGCTAATGAGCATAAAAAGGAATCGCTCTCCAGCCAGTATTACTTATTCTGTTTATCAGAAAACCATCAGAACAAGAAGTAGCTTTTGACTTGCTTTATTTGGCTGAAATGCATTTTACCAATCAAGTGTCCAAGTGTCCAACAAAAAATATCAGCAGATTCATTAATCCATTTCATCCAAGTGGCACCTTGCCACGGACACAAAAAAGTAGCATTTGACTACTTGCACAGATGAAACCGACTTTACGAAACACTTTCCCTCTAAACAATTCAACAGATTCAGAGCTAAATGACTCTGACCAAATGGGGCCTAAATGAATATGCAATTCAAATAAATGAATACAATATTAAGAAATAAACTGACAATAACTCTCTGACCTAATGCAGCAATGCCATTCCTTCCATAATCATCATCAGTGTAAATGGCAACCACTTTTTTCCATTCATAGTATTCCACGATGGATGCTATTGCAGCCATCTGAAAAAGATCATTTGGTGAAGTCCTAACAAAGAAAGGGAACTGAAGTGAAGTAAGGGCAGGATCAGCTGCAGCAAAAGACAACAGAGGGACGTGGAGCTCATTCGCGATATGGGAAATAACATGAGCTATGACTGATGACTGAGGACCTATTATCGCCACTATATTCGTCTCCATGAACCTTATAGCTGTCGTTAACAATAACAACAATGCATGTTAAACATGTATACAACGATGCATATTGCATCACAATATTATTATTATTATATATATATGATAAATATGCAAGACGATAGATTGAACTAAGTGGCTGTTTTGGCGGATTGGTCCTTATCAGCCAGCTTTTCTTCTTTTCAAAACACTAAATTATTGAGCTAATTCCCAAAGCAGTAGTGAAAAAATAGGAGTTAGAAGTTTGGTAAGAGTAAAAACAGATTAATTAGCATTATACAATAATAAATTAAAGAATGGGGATAGTATATATTTCTATAATTAATATCTTGACCAGTTTTTTAGGAATAATTAGTAAGCGGGGTGACTTGAAAACTTGATCCTACACATCTATTTAAAAATCGGTCGGAATGATGCTTTCCCATCCTGTGTCAGTTTACGGGAAAATGGAAACTAATAATCCAACCTTTTACCGGTCTTTTTAGAATGATCTTCTTAGAATAACCCCATCTAATTGTAATCTAGGAATAATCCCACCTTTACATCCTATCTTCTTTTATCGGTCCCTGACCGAGTGACCGGTTGATAACCTGATATTCTAGGTTATTTTCTTTTCTTTGCATAATATTAAACCATAAATCTCACCTTTCACAAATCTTCTCAAAACGGTCTCACGTAATGTTTTTTCTTTTTTCTCCCTAAACGTTTTCTCTCTTTATTTTATCCTCTTGACTCTTTTATTCCCTTCTTTTGTCTTCTTCTTATTTTTATTTATTTTCCATGTTTATGTATTTCATTTTTCCTTCTTTTTCTTCTTCCCGTTTATTATTTCGTTTCCATTTTATGTATTTTTCGGATTGGTTCCCTTCTTATAAAAATCTTTTTCTCACCCTACTAATGTTTTACTTTACTTTCTTTTTACTTCAACTTATTTTTTTCTTTTTTTCTTTTCTTACCTTAATTCTACCACCAATATTCCATCAGCTATTAGTTATTATCTCAATGATGGACTCATTTAGAAAAATATGGTGATGCAGAAAAAAGAAAAATATATTAGTGGTGGAATTAATACCTTTTATAAGAAGGGAACTAATCTGAAAAATACATAAAAACAACAATCAAATAATAAACAAGAAGAAGAACAAAAAGGAAAAAATGAAATTGATAGAGTATATGGGCTCGGACCCCATGACCCACATACTCATAAGGTCAACGATACCAGAGGGACATCCACGTGGCACCCCTCGGCCTAGTGGGTCCCGCAACGGCCAGAAACCGGATCAGCCCAGAACACCGCCTGGAGGATAGATGGGCTTTGTCGGCCATGGACCGCATCGGCCAAAAGGCACCGCATTGGCCAAGAGTTGTCCTGGCAGAATGCATTTTCCTATCTTTTTTACTAAGAATTGTACTCAGCCCATTAGTGGCCCTATTCCGCCCAAAGAAGGCATGATTATTGTAATGGGCCTCCTAAGCCCAAGGCTAGGAGCTCAAATCCACATTTTTACCTATAAATAGACCCCCAAGGGCTAGTTATAGGGGGTTGAAAAATATTAATTACTCACTTTCTCTCTCTATCTCTCACTTCTCTCTAGAATTAAATACTCTATCATTTGGTGCTCTCGTTGAGAGCTTGAACAGATCAAGTGAGCACCCTTCGTCGCTACCAGACGCAACTAACAAGAAATGGGAAGAGCTAGGTCAAAGAACCCCACCGGCAAAACCATCCCTGAGACCCAGGAAAACTTTGAGGAAGCCGGAGATGTTGCTGACAACTACTTCGCGGCTGAGGAAGGGAACATCTGGGAGGTCGATAACCCAACTAACGACCTCCGCAACCACCTCAACAAGACTGCTCAGGACGCCCGCATTGGGCTCGAAGATAAACGCGCTGCTGATCGCGCATCGGGCCAACAGACTTCTCCCTCTGTTGTCCCTCAGTTCAACCAGGCCGCCCTATCGGCCATTGTTGCTAGCATCCTCCAGGATCCCAACGTCGTCAGCGCCTTTGTCGCAAGAACGGCAAAAAACAACACCCCCAAGACAGGGGAGGTTGCAACGGCCCCACCGCCTCCACCACCTCCACCTGTTGTCACCTTCTTCGGCAATGGCGAAGATGTTGATGCCATGGACACCCACTCCCACACTGCCACTCCGCCCCGTGATGCACCGGCCCAACCTCGTGGTAAGACCTCGGCCTTCAATAGGCTGGGTGACACAAGCCGTCGGGCACCTACGGGGAGGATGGCGGGTCGGTTGGGTGACCGCGAGCCTGCCTCGCTAAAAGAAAGCTTTGGGTCCGTCTCCAGGACAACGGAACGGCACCGAATGAACAAAGGAAAAGGAAAGCTGCACGACGATGACGCGCGTCACTAGATCAACCAGGCACACACAGTCCGGGTCCAACCTCAGCAAGATGTCACTGCAGCCATCAGAGATCCTAAAGACAAAATGATTGCCCGGCTGGAGAAGCGACTGGTCGACATGGAAGCCAGGGAAGCCGCGGCGCTCGCTGCGGCCCATGCTTCCCAACCCCCAACTACCGTAATGGCCACCTACACGCGAATCGTTCGATGATAACCCTGGCATCATGGCCTTCGTCTAAGGGTTCTCCGACAGGGTTAACTTGGACAGGTTCGCCTGAGGGTTGGAGTCGCGACAAGCATCACGGTGCCACTTCGGCCAAACAACACTCGTACTCCTTTATGCCTCAACATTCTCTTCAGCCAAAGGAGTGGGGGACTGGGGGAATACATCGGCTAAAGCAGGTATATACAAAAAATTAAAATCGATGAAGCATCAGCATGGAAACGCTGCGGCTGTATTACAAATCAAAGGCGTGCGACATACATCGTCCTTATAAATGTGGAAATGAAAGACTTCACCACATAGAGTAAGAGTACCGCCACGGCCAAGAAGCAGATGAGATCTCTTCGGCCTCCAACATATGACAATAAAACACTTCGGCTTACCTACACCAGACTGCATCGCATCGTCTTCAACCAAAAAAGAAAGTCACCAACCACGAAGGCGTCGCAACGGCCTGCATCAAAATTATGAATCCAAATCACGCTTCATCCTCAGTAGATGAAGAAACCTCTTCGGCCTCCAAACACATTGAGGGCGCGCAACGGCCATTCAGAAGAGGAACAAGGAAAGTACTCCCTTTCGCTTCGTCTTCCTCTCAGCTCAGAGAGTGGGGGACTCCTGATAGAGTATATGAGCTTGGACCCCATGACCCACATACTCATAAGGTCAACGATACCAGAGGGACATCCACGTGGCACCCCTCGGCCTTGTGGGTCCCGCAACGGCCAGAAACCGGATCAGCCCAGAACACCGCCTGGAGGACAGATGGGCCTCGTCGGCCATGGACCGCATCGGCCAGAGGACCGCATCGGCCAAAAGGCACCGCATCGGCCAAGAGTTGTCCTGACAGAATGCATTTTCCTATCTTTTTTACTAAGTATTGTACTCAGCCCATTAGTGGCCCTATTCCGCTCATAGAAGCCATGATTATTGTAATGGGCCTCCTAAGCCCAAGGCTAGGAGCCCAAATCCACAGTTTTACCTATAAATAGACCCCTAGGGACTAGTTATGGGGGGTTGAGAAATATTAATTACTCACTTTCTCTCTCTAGCTCTCACTTCTTTCTAGAATTAAATACTCTATCAGAAATACATGAACATGGAAAAGAAAAAAAAAAAGACGAAAGAAGGGAATAAAAGAGTGAAGAGGATAAAAATAAAGGTAGAATTTATGGTTTAATATTCTGCAAAGAAAAAAAATACCCTGGATAACAAATCATCAATCAATCAAGAACCAATAAAAGAAGATGGGGTGCAAAGGTGGGATTATTCCTATATTACAGTTAGGTGGGATTATTCTAAGAACACCGGTAAAAGATTGGATTATTAGTTTCCATTTCACTTAATTTTATTTAAGTTTGTCACTTTTATTAAAGTTTGTCCGAGTTATTATTCCATTATTTTTCTACTTAGTTGGAATTTGACTTGATCTTTTTTTTTCAGATTAGACCAGCGCATATAAAATTTTCCGACTTCTTTATTTTTAGTTCAATTTAGAAAGAATGGCACGGCTATTACTCCTCGCCTTTTAGAAGGCTAAAATATGACTAGATTTCTATTTGACCAAAAAGTGACCGAACTAAAACGTTTTCTTTCTTCTTGCGCTATAATTGACGCAAACTTGGAGCTCTCTACGGACATCTGCGGACAGAGCAATACATGGACGCGCAAACATGGAACTTCTCTGCGGACAGAGCAACTAGACCGGCCGCTTCTTCCTCGACATCGCCCTGCGCGGACAGAGCAAACGGATCGCCGCCTCCGCCGTCATGGCCTTTGTCATCCTCGCCCGGCGGCTGTAGCAGATGGATCTTCGCTTCCTTGGCCGTCGTCATCGTCCTTCGTACAATGAGTAGACATATCGTTGCCGCCACCGCCGTTCTCCCCCTAAACGTTCAGATCTGTGATAGATAGGGTTCAGATCTGGCGGCGAGGAGCATCGCCGGCGGGCCAGATCCATATTGAATTGGCTAGGCTTGGGGTTGGTTGTGGGTGTTGCGATGGTCTGGGACGAGATTTGAGGGAGGGGAGGTAGGGAGCGACTGGGGAGGTGGCCGGTTAGCAACTGGGGAGGGGGATTAGCGACTGGGGAGGGGGGGTTTGGGGGCTGTGGAGGGTAGGCTACGAGCTATCGACGAAGTGGTAAGTCAGGTGGGCGGATGGTGGTCATCGGAATGTTGTGGTGGTGATTGGAGGTTGTGTGACGGCGGCATGAGGTGGCATGTATGTGTTGGTCATTTGGTTGGTGTTTTTTGGGGTTGGGGAGGCTGACTGTGGTGATGTGGCAGCGGTTTCTCATGGTGGTAGTGTGACAGTGGAGGCTGTACCACATTTTCACCGGAAAAAGTTGCCGGAAAGTGACATGATAGTTACCAGTGACATTCAAAAGTTACATAATAACCGGCAGTGACATTCGAAAGTGACATAAAAAACCGACAGTGACATTCAAAAGTGACATAAAAATCTGGTAATGACATATGACAGTGACATATAATTTGATAGTGACATGTTTTCCGGCGGCAGTGACACGGGTGGTGGCTACAGTGGCACGGGCGGTGGCGTCACTGTGCTGGTGTCACTATGACAGTGTCACTGTGGCGGTGACGATGGCGGTGTAATTGGCGTGAAAAAATTTGACGGTGACGATGGCGGTGTAATTGGCGGGAAAAAATTTGACGGTGACGACTCTTAGTTACAAAAAAACAAACACAGTGACATATAATATTTGCAGTGACATCATGTTTTCTAATTACACATATATGACCTTCTTGATCACTTTTTTGCCCCTTTTTAAAAATAGTCACTTTTTAGGTAATTGGTTCAAAATTAGTAATATTCATGTAAAAACCCTTCAATTTAGTTCATTATTTCAACTTTGTTGAAAATGGTTTTTCCCACTTATTTTTAAACTTATTTTTAATGGTAGGAATACAGAGTTATTATGGTTTATGCATTGTCACTCATTATTTTTATTCACCTCAGTCGGAATTGGCTTTTCCAACAGGTTTATTTTTCAAAAAAAACACCAACAGGAACATGGTATTCTGAATGCACCTTTTTTCAGATTTTTTAATAACCTAATTCAGTCGGAATGGGTCGTTATGAATTACGTGTCTTCCAAACTAATTGGAACTCTCATGTTTTGCATGTCAGACCCAAAACCACTTTCTTTTTGTCATTTCCTCTGGAGGTTATGAGGAGCATCAGTATTATGTAAGTGCAAGAAACTAACTAGATTGGAGAGAAGGCTCAGGAGATTAATCCCAAAGGTTTAAGTTGCGGTATTCGGGGAGAGGAAAGACTAAAAATAGAGTAGGCATGATTGTGGCACGTGACTATGTTGAAGAGGTGTGGAAGTCTTTAAGAAGAACGACCGCATTATAAGCATTATTAAATTGATTATTAAATTGGTGATAGAGGATGAAATCATGTCCATGGTAAGTGCCTATGCACCACAAGTGAGATTGGATGCACCTATCACTCAAAAATTCTTAAAAGATATTGAGGAAGTGGTGCGGTGAGCGCTAAGGGAGAGAAAGTGATCATAGGAGGTAACCCCAACGGGCATGTGGGCTCGAGTCGTGATGGTTTTGAGAGTACTCATGGTGGAAATGGTTTTGCTACTAGTAGAAATGAAGAGGTAAAGAACATTATGGATTTTGCCTCACATATGAGTTGGCTATAATAAATACGTGGTTCAAGAAAAAAGACTCATCTTCTGACCTACAAAAGTGGAGCTAATCGTACCCAAATTGACAACTTCTTCTTTTTTTGGCAAAGAATTGACAACTTCTTAGTACACACTACTTGGAGAACTAGTTACATTGATCGTAAGGTTATCCCAAGTGAGAGTGTTGTCACTCAACATAGGATATTTATGCTTGAATTTCGCGGTAATAAGCATAGAAAGCGGGCTAAACAACAAGTTGAGCTAAAGATAAAGTGGTGGAGGTTCAATGGGGATAATGTTATGTAAAATCAACATTTTTTTGTCAACCAATGTTAAAGTTAAAACCTCCTTATTGATAATTAATTCAAATTTAATAATTAAAATTTACAATTTACATATTCAGAAACTAAATTAAAATTCTCTATAAAGTTGCAAAATTAAAATTAAATTTAAAATTTAATTAAAAATTGATATAATAATTAAGTCAATTTTGGGACGGGGGAGTAGTAAACATGGAGGCTAGAGTTTGTGTATTAACATTGTTATGTTGTGATACGAGTTTGAGAAATTGTCCTAAATAGGACTAAAATTAAACATAAATGCACAAATTAAACTCAAAGTTTCTAATTCTCTCAAAAGGACTAAACATTACTTTTCTAACCTAATATAATTAATTGTTCCCTAATTTCCCGACATAACCAGGGCAGTCCGTTGGTGGCACAACGGCAGCCAAGCTGTGAATCGACGGCGGAGTCAGGCTGCGGCAGCGACATTCTAGCAACTGCCAACACCAACGCCAGCAGCCTAGTTGCAGGCCCAAGTGCCCAAAAAGAGGAATTTTAAACAATAACTCCTATTTTTGCATTTGGACCCAGGGTCGTCCCTAGGGGGAGGAGGGCAGCAGGGGCGACCGCCCCAGGCCCCGAAAATCTAGAAGAAGAAAATTACGCCCAAATTTTTTTCTTTATGTATAATGTTAGTAGGCTTCTTTTTTATTTTTAAATTCAATTGATTAGGTCTAATGTTTAATTTATGTTGATAATTTGAAAATGTTAAAACATAAGTAAAAAGTCTTGATCAGAGCCGTTCAGACAAATTTAAAAAAGAATATATATTTAATTTTGATTTTTAAGTAGAGCTGATTGTAGGTCAACACATTTGTTGTTGAATCAAATAATCAATAAAGACACGTCTCTTCACATCGTTTTAGCCTTTAAGACTTTTTATTCCTTTTAATTACAAAATTATCAATTTATACTATTGTTTGGGCAGCCTATGTCTCCCAATTCCCAAATTTCATCCCAATTATCCGCGATCGAAAATGTCTCAAAAGAACTCAATGGTAGCAATTTTAAGCATTATATTGAACATGGAATCTTGAAAAAGATTGATTATGGAGCAATTATTGATGATTTAGCTTCACAATATTATGCGACAAATGTTTTTAAGTAATGCTTTTTGTGATACTTGTGTTCTAACTTTTGTCCAAATATGTACTAGTAATTTAAATATTACTCCGTAGAAAATGTGTGTTTCGTCTTTATTTTATAAGCTTTATTGGATAGTTTTATTATAATTCTTATTTAAAAAAAATATAATTTACTATAAGTCTTGAAAATAAGTCCAAGATGGTATATCACCCTGTTTGGACCATGTTTCTTCTAATTTGGAAATTGACTCTTAAGCATATGAGTGATTGGAGAAGTGAAAAAGATGAGAATGGTGGAATAATGATGATTATGAAGGAATGAATTATTATTATTATTATTATTATTATTATTACCTTGAAGAATGGGAAGAAAGGCGGCAGTGGGGGCGGTGTCAAGGAGGGTGAGGTTGATCTTGGTTGCAGGAAGAAGAGTTGGGTTGGAATTGACGTCCTCCACAGCGGCCTCCACAGCCAATTTGGTAACTTTCCCAACTGGGGAATCCAGAATGAGCATACACCCAACATTCACCACTTCCCAACTACAACACCCGCTGCTGTAATACATCATCATCACTACTGCCCAAAACACCAACTTCATGCCTAGCTAGCTGCGCTCGCAATCCAATCCCAATCTTACTTTATTTCACCAACCCTCACACAATCATAACCTATCAATTACATACCGAATCAACGCTTACCTTTTTCATACATCTATGTTTGTATATAAGTAATCCTTACCAATAATTAAATCAAGTACAGCTGTGGCCCTTGATCTTTGCTTTCACAAATACATGATCGACTAGCTCAGGTTGGTCAGGGCAGAGAACTTGATTAATTTAGACCAATCCTATTTACTTATTGCTTTTTAACTCTACTGTCGGTCGGTATCAATTCGAGTTGGTCAAATGATGTCCTAGTGCCGGGTTGAGAGATCGATCAACGTATAAATGTATAATACTATTATCATTTAAGCAGAGATTTCCAAAAGGTTTGTACTAGTGCCGGGTTGAGAGATTTCGAAAAGGTCTGAACAATGATTTAATTTAATATAGAGTATAGAAATTACTTCAAATAGGACTAAAACTATGGTAAAAACTCAAAATAGGACCATAGTGGTCCTATTGGAAACATACCCATTTCTTCCTTCCATTCTTACCGCTCCTTTAAATATTAGTAAAAGATAGCTAAAAGTCATAATTAAATGTTTAATTCATAATAAATTCGAAAAAATTTCAATAATTCGTAGAAAAATAATAAAAAAATTAATAAAATTTTTTATAAAATAAAAAATAAGAATTTTTTTTTTAAAAAATGAGAATGCCAACATTTTCATTCTGCCAACTTGAATCCTTTTGACTTTTGCCAAAAATATGGCATTCATAATTTTTATGGCATTTTTTTACCCCGGTGACAGGAGGTGGTGGTACCGCCTCCCTGCACCACCACCCCTGACCGTTAAAAAAAATGCCATATTTCCTACAAACTTCCATTTTTTCAGAAAATGCCAAAAATATGGCATATTTCTCTTTGACAATGCAAACATTTTTTTTCTTCCATCTTAAATCATTCTGAATTATGCCAAAAATATGGAATTCATAATAAATTTGGCATTATTTCCCCAAATGACTAGAGGTGGTGGTGCTGGGGCGGCAGAGGCGGCGGTGACAAAAAAATGATTTTTTTTTAATTTTTTTTATTTTTTTTTATTTTTTTTTTTAATTTTTTTTTAAATTTATCATTATTCAAAGTATTTTTATTAATTTTTTGGTATATTTTACGAATTTTTTATTATTTTATTATGAATTAAAACATTCCAATAGGTATAAGGGTATATTTGTCCAAGACACATAATTAGTCCTATGGAAACATAGTTTATTTTTTGGTCCTATTTGTGCAAAGTGAATGACTTTTAGTCCTATTTTGATAATTAACTCTATAGAGTACTCTTCCGGTCAGGAATTCCTGACCGGAACCGCCGTCCAGACGGCGGCGTTTGGCCGCCTTCCGGACCAGTTAACTTGCAAAAATCATTTGACGACCTTCCCAGTTGAGATTTTGGCTGAATTTTTTTGTGGATAAACTAGACTTGATGGAGAACATGCCATAAAAATTTCATCAAAAAATGCCACCGGGAAGGCGGCCAAACGCCGCCGTCCGGACGGCGGTTCCTGTCCGGAATTCCGGACATGAACATTTGTGTATATTTCCTCCGTTCTTTAATTCTTGCAACAGTTTGACTTTCACGTTTGCCCATGCACAACTTTGACTGTAATTATATTTAATTATGTATTAGTAAACATTATAACAAGTTGATATTTTGAAAATTCACATTGATAGGAATTCAATAACATTTTATACGTAATAGTTTGATTATGTATATTAGTATAAAATCGTGGTCAAAGTAAGGTCTGTAAATAGTGTAAAAATCACAATGTTGCAAGAATTAAAGAACGGAGGAAGTATATGAATATAATTTATAAATTTTATACATGAAAATATTTTGAATAAGGAACATTTTGATATAATTTTCATATTTAAAATAATTTAGTGTTAAAAATATCATTGACCAAAATTGATTGTCAATGATCAGGAAAGGTCAATTTGGCAAAACCTTTTTCGGGATGGAGGGAGTAATATGGAAGTGGTCGGTGGAATCTACTCAATATATACATCAAGTTAAGGGTCCACATCCAAACCCAAAATAACGGACCCTCCCGGTCCATTTTAGGTCGGTTGCAATAGGGTGGGTAGAGTTGGAGTAGGTAATTGACAAATTTTTAATAACGACCAGTTTCATTTAGGGCCCATTTCGTAACATCCAAATCGGCTGTATCGGCTGATTCTGCCAAAGTTTATGAAGTTCTGGTTGAAGTGGTTATACTGGCTTTTTCTGTTGATTTGTGAGAAAAAAATATTTAAAATATAATTTATTAATAAAATAAATAATATATATATAGCTCAAATGGTCCTATGCAGTAACTTCGGTCAATACAGGCAGAAAAGTAACTTCAACCTTACTTTTCTTATTATTGCACAATTCAGCGCTCGAAATCAAAAGTTACGTGTTTGGTAAAAAAGTTGGTTGATAAGCCTGAAAAGAAAAAATCATGGTTACCAAACAGGCTCTTAATTTAACAGAAAGGTTTGATCGGGATATATAACTTAGGGAGATTTCCCAAAATAGGAGTAAATGGAGTTTGAAATTCCAAAATAAGACTACTATGTTTTTATTCACAAAATAGGACTAACATGACATCTATTGTTTTAATAGTAAAACTGAGTTATAAAATGCAGATGTGTCATTCATTGATTGGATAACAAAAATAATTATGACATTAATTTAATATAAAAATGAATAGCAGCCCGTTATTTAGGAGAAAAAATAGTAAACTCAATTGGACTAGATCTCTTCCATTCTTATACCAAGTACTAATTAAAATTCGAAGTTTTAGAAAAATCTTATCTAAAGCAACACTTCTACAGGTACTATACTTCGGAGCTCTTGGATATAATTAGGGGTGGGCAAAAGACCCGGTCCCGTTGGTCCGTTCCGGAATGTTCCGGTTCCGTCCCGAAATTGTCCCGTTATATTTGGGATACATTACTTTTGTCCCGTACCGGTCCCGAACCGTTTTAAAACAAAACGGGACCGGGACAAGTAAAATATATCCCGTTCCGTCCCGTTGTCCCGAATCCAAAATTGTACATAGTACTTTGTAGTAGGTTAGTGAGTTTATCTGTTTATTAACAACTCATTATGTAATCCAAATAATAATAGTTATTTTTTTTGCACAACCCAAATACAAATGATTTTTAAATACTAGTTGATTAATAATATAACACCTAAAAAAACTCTAAACTACCTACTATCACATACTATGAACTATCATCTATCTACAAAAAAAAAAGAAATTGATTTTACTCTCAAAGTATTCTTTTATCATTTTATTATAGATTTCTTGATAGATTTTTGTGATATAGTTTTTTCTGCTGCAACTTTTGTTTCATGTAGCTAATCTGGTAAGTTGCATTTTTTTCTCACAATTTTCTATATTAGCTATAGCTTTTTTGTCATAGAGTTTTCTTGCGCTAGTTTTTTTTCAAATAGCTTTGTTTTGTTTTTGGATTGAAATTGTTTGACTACAATTTTTTGGGATGTCCCGAACCGTCCCGTTTTGTCCCGGTACCGGTTTAAACGGGACAACAAAGGGACAACGTCTTGTCCCGTCCCGTTCCGAACCGTTATTGTAAAACGGGTTCGGGACCGGGACAACCCAATTCCCGTTCCGTCCCGGACCGTGCCCACCCCTAGATATAATATGTCTGCTACTTTCATTCAACCCATTATTTATGCAACTGATGAAACATATAAAATCAATATAGAACATGAAATGATGTATGTTTGATTAATTGGTACAAATATCGTAACGTTAAAGTTTATTTTTAATTTGACCATATTTTAAAATGGATTAACTTAAGAATTTAATATTTGAACTTTTTTGGATTTGATTGATATAAGAAAGATCCATATTTTATCCATAATTTAATTATTATTACCAAAAATAAAACCAAAAACGACTAGCCCCCCAAAGATTTTTATGAAAGTTTGGTCTTGCTCTTTTTATAAAGCATAATATTGCATATATAAAAATAAAAAAAAAAAAATTCACATATTAAAATTGAATTATAAATCGATGGTGTTAGTCTCTTATTGGTTAATAAAAATGCTATTATCACACTACTACAGCATTTAATTAATCCAAATTCACTTGGTGCATCACTGTTATTCGCTAAGTGCATCACTACTATTAAGAGTCTATTTGGTAACATTGAAATTGGTTGAGTCGACTAATTGTACTGAAATTTATAAAGTTCTGGCTGAACTGATTGCCCGGTTGGGTTGGTTAATTCTGCTGAGTTATGAAAGGTTTACAAGGTAGATTGAATATAAAATTAGTCTATTTTGAATTGGACTGGTTAAATAGACTAGACCAAATCAGATCAATTCAGAAATAAATAGATCAAATAAGATCATACGAAATTGAGTTATTACCTGAAATGAGACTGAATAGGTTTGAAAATTCCAAACATGGGACTGTCATGTTTTTATTCTCGAAATAGGAGTCATTATTGTCATGTTTTGCCACTACCAGACTTCAAACATTATTGTCCTATTTTGGAATTTTCAAACTGTTTTAGTCCCATTTCGGGAACTTTCCCTACAAAATTTCATCCGTTTGTAATTACAATTAGACAAAATCTATAATAGTCAAATACGGAGTATAATTAATAAGACTCCAAACTTTTGATCATATCATACGGAGTATAACTTAAGAGCCCGTTTGGTAACAAGAAAATCGGCTTATTTAGCTGATTCTGCTCAAATTTATAAAGTTATGACTGAAGTGGCTGCATTAGCCAATTCTGTTGATTTAAGGAAAAATTATTTTTTTTAAATTTATTTTATTAATAAAATAAAGAAAAAATCATATGTAAAATAGCTAAAATGGTTATCTACAGTAACTTCAGCCAATACAGCCAGAAAAGTAACTTCAACCTTACTTTTTTTGCTTATTACACAATTCAGTGCGCGAAAGCAAAAGTGATGTGTTTGGTGAAAAAGTTGGCTGATAATCCTGATAAGCTGAAAAATAGTAGTTCCAAACGGCTTTTAAATTGTTCACAATTTTTTCCACAATTTAATAAGACTCCAAACCTTGCAAATGCTTTTGCTTAAAAAAACCACTTTTTGAAGTGATTTTGAAAAAAGTGATTAGTAGTAAAAATTGGTAGTGTTTGAGAAAAAAATGATTTTGAAAAGTAAAATAAGTGTTTGTGTAATACAAAAAGTAAAAAACACTTTTTACACAAAATTAATTTCACATGAAAACACTAATTTTAACTTTGTAAGCCAACAGTCAAGAAATGTTTTTTTAATCTACTGCATACATCCCCTAATACTACCGGGGCATGCCCCGGGTATTACACTAGTTATTTATTATAATT